TCCAGGAAAAACGGCTGTCAGTTCCGTCGTTTTCTACTACAGAAGTAATAAGAAGAGATCGTTTTGAGAGATCGCGACCCTCATCATGACTGAATCTGGCCTGCAAGAACCCTACCATATAGACGGCAATAACCCTACCATACAGTGTCACATAGAGTGTTACCCGGACTACAGGTTACTAAAATCTTTCAGGCCAACGCGCGGCCTCCAAAAAAAAATTGAATGGTCGTTTCTCATTTTACGCGAGCAGGGGGCCGGGTCTACTACCGCCCCTCACAGCTTTTTTTTTTTTGTGACCCCCATTTTTGGAGGTGCGCCGCATACAGTGCGCGCGCGTCGTGCGGGAAGCGCGGTGCGGCGCACGTGTGCAGTACAGCGCATCGCGGTGCACCGCAAGTATGGAGCTGACCCTTTCGGGCCATCTTATCACGTGGACGTCCCACTGCATCTACAACCCTACCCTGTCTTTCATGCATCCAAGCTGTTGCCGTTTGTTTCAGCTGATGCATTTCCAAACAGGCCTCCTCAATTTGGTCCCCCGATCCCTGGGAAAGGATATGAGGTGGAATCAGTTGAGGATGAGTATGGTACAGGCCCGGATAAGGAGTACCTTGTGAAGTTTCTTTACCAGCCCCATACTGAAGATCGCTGGTTTACTCACAAGGAGCTTCTGAAAACAGCAAAGTCTGTTATTCTCAAATATGAGGTTGCGCAAAAGGGAGAGCCCCTTCGACGCTCTGCATGCCTACGCCCCTAGCTCGGAGGTTCTCACTCCGGGGGAGGGTAGTTCTGCAATGACTTGCTGGTTCCAGGTTGCTTGTAGCCTCTCTCAGACGAGGCTGTACCATAGGAAGGGACAGATTCGTGATTTTGTTTGGTTGAGGGCTAACCGAGAGACCTACCTGTAGGGAAAATTCGTAAGGGATATATTTGTAAATATAGGAAATATGGGCCCAGTACTAACTCAAATTTCCTACAGCTACCCTAACTGCCAATAGCAGACCCGGGCTACCCCTAGGACAGACAGGCCCAATGGGCCTACGTTGATAGACGGTCCTATAGCCTATAGCCGGGTAGGGAGAGGCCCTAGAGGCTGAAACAGAGACGGTACCGGCTGGTCAGTCAGTCCGGTCTAGGTCGTGTCTAGGCTAGTTTAGGGTATAGATAGGATGGGACATTGGTCCTGGGCTTTTGGCAGTTGACACTTCGTGGTGGAAGTTGCTGCGTATACGGTATCAGGTCGTGGTTGCTGATTCCGGTGTGGGAGACGGCGGACATAGCCAGACCTTCGGAGCACTGACCAGACTGGGGTCAATGCTGTCCGCTCTGACTCTCTGGGAGTCAAAGCGGTCTGGGCTATCAGAGGTCTGATGCGTTGGAGGACGTGGTGCACTGCTGACCCTCCTCAGGAGTAGGGTCCCAGTGGCGATGCAGCCATAGCTGCATCTTCTCAGAGGATATCATCGTCTGGACTTCATCTTCATCAGGGACTGTTGACGCTGAGCTTCTTCTTCATCATCTGGGTGGCGATTGGCTTTGGGAGCCTGTTTCATATTGGCGCAGGCCACTGAGTTGGATGTCAGGGTGGCGTTGGGTGTTACCAGGGGTTCTGGGGCTATTTTTAGCTGCTCGGTGTGTGTGGGGTTGAGGCGCTACCCCTCTGAGGGTAGCGCAACAGTGTTCTGAGGTTATTCAGTAAAAACGATACTCTGAGTTTAATAAACAGTTGTAATACTGTGTTGGAGTTGTCATCTCTTCATTGATTTCTGGCTGTGATCACTCGGTTGTCTTCTTTGAATGATTGTTGGGACCTGTGTGGAGAGAATCCACAGTTTTGTGTGTTCTGTCACTTCGCTCCTCTGAGTCTTCCGCTGCGTTCCTTTTGTTGGGCGGTGTGACACTCCACTACCTCTCCCCTTCTTTCTGTGCATGTATGGGCATGTACGATAGTTCCTGTGAGTGAGCGTTGATAAAATTTCAACGGACAATCATGTTCATAACAAAGGTCTGATTGAGGGTGACGAGATGCATACCTGGTACGTGAAGGGAGGTCGGCGATGGTGTTGACAGTCATGTACATTGGTCTTCGAGAGTCGAAGTGAGCCTGTTGTGTGAACCAGCTGTAGGTAGGATAGTCAGGTAGAGTAGGCTGGGCGCCGAGCGCCAGACAGAATGGTGCGACTTCGGATACTGTGTTGGTGTGGCCTACGGGCTTGAACATTGGCTCATTACTTCATTGAATTGCTCTATATGGATGGATACTCGGTGCATTTTTTGTACTCTCTGCTTGGATACGACTACCTTGGCATCTGTGTGATTTTGCAAATTGGTTTCCTGTATATCGTGCACACTCATATTCCTTGCACTCATACCAAAGGGTGAAGTGTTAGGTCAAATAAATCCTTTCCAGGGAGTTCTTTGAGCTGGCACTGCATCTCTTCGGTTTCAGGAAAAAAGTGCTGGTAGGGGGGACAAAGAGGAGTGTGTTCAGGCTCCAAGCCATTGAACTCCAACAACTTTGCAATGGCCAAATCAATGGAAGGAGGCTGATTCTGTTTGTCTAAGGGGCGGAGGTCCTCCGGGCCTCATTCTAGCTCCTGCTCTTCGTCGTTCTTTTCTCGAGTGGGAGGTTCCTGACGGACCTGACCTCGTACATAGCCCTTTTTCCCTTCTCTTTCTTTGTCCAGTGTAGAATTACAGACTCAGCTACCCCACTGGCTATGATGCTATAGGCAGCATGTCTTTGATTGGTCAGAGACAGCAGAATAATGTTCGATGACAAAACGGGAGAATGGGAAGGGCAATAGGGCCTGTATAAATTGGATTTCACTCTGCTGTAGATGATGAAAGCTTGGATAGGAAACACTGACCTTGCGCACTCTCTCACCCGAAAGCTGCTCATAGATTGAGTTCAAGTTTGCCGCCTTCTCTTGCCAGAATTCCAGCTCTGCCAAAGGTCCAGGGTTCGACCCCTGCAGTAGAAAAATGAAGATGAAAAGTTACTTCAGTAATAACTAACTACACAGTATACTTCGTCTTTTTTTTACCCCTGTGGCCAGAAACGAAAAGTTGCTATGGTACCTTCACAATTCACAATTAGTTTTCTCCCAGTGGTATGAGGACTGAAACGCTGCCTCCATAAACTTGGAGTTTGCTAATGATACAGAGCAAAGCCATACCTCACTTCAGATCCCCTGCCCTACACGGTACACACAGTTCCATCCAGGTTGAAACCATAGATTTAAACAAATCAGCAACAGAAAAATCCAGCAACCACTCAAATAGCTGTTGCTGTACCTACTATCCTCCATAATCAACAGAATGCACTCGTGGAAAGGAGTCCACTCATCGCTGTTAGGCAGAGTCCTTGCGCTGAACAACTCAATTTTAGCCATGATGTGGTACGCCACCTCTATATGGTTCCCATCAGAGGACTTCCAAGGCCAAATCAGAAAAAGGGCAGCGGCCTTCGTCTGGACAGGTAACCCTGACAACCACCTCTTCATACACAAGGTGTCCTGGCAAACAATCACCCAATCTAAAGCCAAAGGAGGTTTGGGCCTTCTAGACCCAACTAGTCAGATCCAAGCCCTACAGGTAAAGTGGATTCTGAGAATCTCTCTCCAGGATAGAATACACTGGGCCCCTCTCGCCCTTAACCACATCAGGGAACTAGCCTTACAACAAGCATTGGCCACTTCCCAAAAACAAAAGAAACCAAAATCCACACCCTCCCCTAGACGGAGCCCATAATGATGAACCCCTCAAAACACACTGGGCTCACATTCTTCGTTCTTGGAGATACATATTCCCAGAAAACAGAATTGGCCCCAAAAGAAGAGACGAAGTCCTCAGACAACCTTGGATCAAAACGAGAAAGGAGAACCTTACCCCCTCTCCTCAACAGAGGCTAAATGGTGTCACTGGGTAGAAAGAGGAATATGGCAAGTCCAACACCTATGGGAGGAAACTTCCAACAAGTGGAAATCAGAGAAAGACCTGAGGCCAGTACTAAAGGGTACCCACCACCTTCAAACTTCCATAAATCAGATCATCGAGAGTGTTCCAATAGAATGGAGGCGGCTACTAAGATCAGAACAGAAATGGCAATATGGCGACTGGGCAGTAAAAAAGGACACAGACACGATTTTCGAAGTCCTGAAATTCAAAACCTACAAGTCCCAAAACAACAAATGGATATGCTGCGACATTTTCGTCCTCGACGAGCCAGGTAACTCATCAAGTTATCTCAACAAAGAAAGCACGGCAGAAGCATCATTCTTAACAAACTCTCTGAGAAGAATAAGGGTCATCGAAGGAGACAGAATCAGGGTATTCAAGCCTCAGTCAAGTATTCAAGAACTAGAAATAGATCCAACAGAATGGTCCTGGAGCACACCTAGTAACAACTCCCCTATATCAAATATACATAAACTAACAGACTACAAGCCAAATCTAGGGTACCGACTTTTCTCAAAACCCAACTCGATAACCAGCACCCTTCAAAGAAGATGGACAAAAGAAGAGTCCACACTAGCCGAATCTCAAATATCCCCACCATGGCCTTCAATCTTCTGCACTAGACCAGTGAAACTAGCTAGCCTAAGATGGCTGATAGCCTTCAGAGCAGTTCCAGTGAACCACTGGCTGGCACAAAGACGTAGTAAAGAAAACAGATCAGAACAAGACTCTTGGTGTAAAGTTTGCAACCTACAGACCCCCGAAACACTAAACCACTGCTTCTTAGACTGTCCCGAAGCCAGAAAACTCTGGCACGAAATAGAGAAGTCTTGGAGTTCCCTCTCCAATACCTCCATCACAATAAGCCCTGGCACAATTTTCCTTGAAATGGAACAAAACCCCCTCTCAAAGGCTTTGAAGCTTTCTTCTTCTCCCTAATCAGGAAAGGTATCCTCTGGGGTTTATGGAAAAAAAGATGCGACATAACCTTTGAGACTCACCCCACCAACACCGAGCACCCAGTTACCACTATAAAAAACATTATTGAAACAGAAATACATGTCCTTTGGAAAAGAACCCAAAAACAAATATATAATACACCGGCCAAAAAGGACGAAATAATTAAAAGGTTCATATCATTAAATTTAGGTTCAGGACAACTAGGTACAGTAAGAAATAAGAACTGGCTAATCCTTCCCCCTTTGTGCAATAACAATAACCCCATTCTTCCATCATAAACACAAACCCCATATCCAACCATCCCTAACCAAACACTTACCACCCACCCTTAACACACCCACCCATAACAATCTCCCCAATAACCACTGTATCCACCCTACAAAGCCCACCCCTCACATCATCCTCTACCCCCTCCTCCCCAAACTTCCCCTCCACCCACACACCCCAACCACAGTAGTACCCTCCCGACACACGAGAAGCCAGAACAATCAGCACACCCCTACATCCAGCCACCAGTCTTCTCGAGATCCAGAACTATCGCCCCAGATCATCCCTTAGAATCCGTAGCAGCCCAGCCCAACTAGCATGAGCCCTGGCCTCAATTTAGTCACAAATCTCCCCCTCGTAGAAGAGACCCCAGGACCTCAGGAAGCATCGCAACAATCAATTTCGATAAAATAGCAGAGTAGTCCAGGATAACTTAGGCAGGGGTAAGGGGAGGTACATCCTTCAGGCTGGAAGTAATCAATGCCGTCCCTTGGTCTTCCCTACCATAAAGGGGAAGAGCGTGTGTGAGTCCCTTATGTATTCTCATTGACTTGCCGGTGGAATAGGAACCGGACTGATGCTCCCCAGAATGGATAAGGAGCCGGGACCATAAGGTTCTGTTTTTGCTTGAAAAAAAAAAAAAAAAAAAAAAGCTGTTGCTGTACCCAGGATGCATACATTCTGTCTCTTATACACATCTAGATGTGTATAAGAGACAGGTAGAAGAGAGCCCAGGACCTCAGGAAGGACGCAACAATCAATTTCGATAAAATAGCAGAGTAGTCCA